TGTAGTGGACTAGGCCCATGTCAAAAACTAAGTCTAAGGTAAAAAATCTTGACCTTAAGAACCTTGTGGGACAGGGACTGTCATTTCATTGATTTGAACTCAGAGGTACAGGTTCACCCATCCTGAGACTTTCTTTCTTGAAGATTCAAGTGAAAAGAACACTCTCTTTTTATTATCATTACTATTTTACAAATGTTGATAATCAAAATGTCTTAGTTCAAACCATTTTAGATGTTGCAGTGAACTAATCAATTTTATTAACTGAGTAATGATTTTTATTCTCATGTCAAAGCTGTAACAGAGTAATTATGCCTTTTCTGATTTCTGCTTTTGAATGAGCAAGTGTAAGTTGGTCCAAGGTTGGAGTCAAACGCAAAACAAGTTGTTATGTTAGAACAGTCATGTTTTTAGAATCCTCTCAGACATAAATATAGAAGTTTTGGCACCTGTTTCTGAAACGCGCCAAAACAAAACTCTCTCTCTGTCTGTGAGAACATTTCTGATCTGTTTCATAACAATTCTCGCTGTCTCTAACCTCTTACGTCACAAAACACACCCCGTCTGGTCGTTTCTGACCAATGAACAAATCCCAAAAGTGAACCGGGAAAGAGTCTTTAAAATGTCAGTACTTCCTGGTCTAGTCAGTGCTGATGGAGTGCTGTTGGAGTTCTGCTGGATACACAGTCCAACCAGTTCTGTTCATGTCTCTGCTCGGATGCTGTTTCTGCACAGTTCTGTTCTGAGAGTTCAGTTCTGTTGAAGCTCTGGAGAAGTTCTGTTCTGTTCAGTTCTGCTCAGTTCTGTGAGAGACGGGATGATCCTGACATGACAACAAGCTCTTCCGAGTTCCATGGGATTATAACACTTTCACTAGCCATTACTTCGGACGAGTAACAGCCAACCTACTGAGACGCTGAAAGGGTGCGTTAAACGGAATCTCACCTGAGACATCTCCAGGTAAAGGAGCCGATTTCATCACCTAAGTGTACTGTAAGGAAAAGCTGAAGAAAGCTGAAGAAAGCCGGAGAGTGTCGATTGTTCAACGGATATGAGTCTAAAAAGGAGAGGTGTGACAAATTGTTAAATGCATCTGAGTTGCTGAAACAACAAATTAAGACTGATAAGGACCTCTCAAGGAAAGAGCTGTCAGATCAGGCTCAGTCATATGAGGAGAGGATTGCGGATAAGGAACGAGCGTACCAAGCCGCGTGTGCAGATAACAATATGTTACAAGCACAGTCGCAGGCCGCATTAAGGGAGCTGGACGATTGCAAGGCAGAAAAGGAGATAATACTCCGAAATTGGCTGACTTTACAAAGTAAAAATCAGTCAACACATGAGCGTCTGACAGCTTGTGAGGAGAATTTAGCTATAGCTACAGACCTGATTTCTGAAATGGAGCAAGCTGGTCTGACAATCAGACACGAACAGGGTCAGCTACAACCGCCCCAGACAGATGCTGTTGCACCTCCTCCCCTTAACCCCGTTCAAACACCCCCGTCTCGGGCGGTGGGGTTCGACCTGCACCGGTATGCACCTCTTCCTCC